CCTCCATCAGCCCCGCTGGGTGGTAGGAGAGTAGGTGTGATCACCATACTGAAGCCCTTGAAATAAGTTCTATGAATTACCGAGAAACCTAATTATACTGAAATATCACTCTCAAGATATTTCCAAATATGCAACACACTAATATGTGTGCTTTATTAAATTACCAGAACAGCATAGTTTGAAGTAGCGATGTGTAATGGCATTCTAGGGTATTAGTAACAACTGTAATGGGGTATGAAAATACCTGTGATTTCTACCAGCAAGCGTGTCGCAGGTGCACTTAATAGCGAAGATTTGTTGTCCCTATTCATAATGGAAGAACATGCTACATTTTACTGATGGAAATGAAGATGTGACCTTTTCTCCCGTTAAGTCAAGGCCCCTGAATTCGACCCACAGACCCATAGAGTACCCCTAAACTCTAGGTTAAGAAGCTTTCGTTCAGAATATGTACCCCTTTACACATACACACACACACACACACACACTCACCTGTCATCTTTTCATACCATCCAATTTAAAACCGTACCCCTTAGATCTGATGCCTTTTTCTGACCTCTGCAGGCACTGCACATACATAAAACACAGACGTACATGCAGGCAAGACATTCATAAACATAAAAATAAATCTTAAAAAAAATTAAAATTACACCCCTATACTGTTTTGATTTGCAATTGAACTTATCATTGTAACACTTAATTATCTTCAAACACACATTCGTAATCCCAGCATTTGGGATGGCAGAGAATTTTAGGGCAGCCTGGGCTACACAGTGAGCTTGAGGCTAGTCTGGGCTCACACTTGATTATTTGTTTACTTGTCTGTTTGTTTATTTGTATGTTTATTTTCAGGGCCATAGAGATTGCTCTTGCAGAGGACGGGACGGGAGTTTTATTCCCAGAATTCAAGTCAAGTGGCTGAGAGCCTGAAACTTCTGCTCTAGAGCATCCCATGCCCTATTCTGGTCTCCACAGGCACCTTGCATTCACACACAGATACCACACACAGGCAGGCACATATGCATAATTAAAACTGGAATACAATTTAAATTCTTCTTCCTTCTCCTTTCCCTTTTTTTTTTTTTTTTTTGCTGGGGAAGGGGGGCAGGCTACTCCGCTCAACCTGTCATCTCATTTTGCTGTCTTGGTTGAGTCGAATTCTCTGTGTAACCCAGGCTAGTTTTAACTCTTGGCAGTCCTCCTGCCTCAGCTTCTCAAGTTCTGAGATTATAGGTGTGAACCATGATGCCTAGCCAGACAGACTTCATATTTGTTTAATTAAGCTATGTATGTGATGAATTAAGATCAGCCTCACTGTTATTGTTTTGTTAGCGCGTCCAAGGTTAGCCTTAGACAGTAGCACAAAAGTCTGGGGAATCCAAGGACCAGAGAAGATTTTGGTCCTAAGCCAGTGGTATTTCCTAAGGACTGTTTAGGGGACCCTGGTTTGGCCCCCAGTTAGGAAACGATGTCAAGGACTAAACAGAGCTGCTGTTCTCGAAAGATCAATCGTAATGAGGCTATATAACAGCACAACTTCTTTTCCTCTAGTGTGTAGCAAGAGCAAAGGGTAATGACACTGGTGCCAAGGTCACCTGCACTCAGGTGTCCACTCACCACTGCAGGCCATGTGTTACTATTGAGTTTCTAAGGCCTTTCTGAAGAGGGTAATGGGCTTCGGTGGGGATGAAATGGACTGGCTTACGCGCGGGACACAGAAGGAAACCCATGCTCAGGGAGGTGTCCATCCCTTCCCTCTGTCATCTCTCTAGGTCATTTTACAGTTCCTTGCCAAGACATTTTCCCATTCCAGTTCATGGGCTCCCAATGGCCAAGAGAAACACCTTGTCCTGTCCTCTCCTACATAGACACCCCGCCCCCAACCCCCAGGCAAAAGACCAAATCTGTGGGTCACTTCAGACTCCGCCTCTGTACATTGTGTCTCTATCTACATCCCGGATGCATGGCTGACAGTTATCAGGATCGTGACCTTATATAGCACGCTGTTTCCGATCAGGTCCTCTCTGAGTCCTCTTTCCGTGCACACTGGAGTTCTTATATGTATCCTGGAGGCAAAGACAGCAAGCATTGTCCTCTTGTTCTTGCCTAGCAAGGGCAAGGCCCTGGGTCCAGTCACAGGCAACAACAGCAAAAAGAAAAGGTGGGAGCTGGAGATATGGCTCTGTAGTTAAGAGCACTTGCTGCTCTTCCTAAGAACCTGAGTTCAGGTCTCAACCATACACATTAGGTGGCTCAAAACAATCAGTAACTCCAGCTACAGAGAGCATTCCATGCCTCTGGCCTGCCTCACCTGCACGCATGCCCACCTGCCCACATGCAGATACATAATTAAAAGTAGGTGCACATACACCTACACATCATTAAAAATAATTGAAAAAGAAATAAAGAGTTTATAAGAAAGAAAACAGGAGCACAGCACTCAGGTGTGCCGAGCATTCTAAGCCGGGTCCTGCCTTACTCATAGGGAAATTTACATATTCACATACATGGGTATGTATGTGCTTATGCGGTCTCTGGGCTCATCAAGGTGAAAACAGACCCAGAGAGATGTATTCACTGATCTGCTGCACAAGGAAAGCCAGGATTAGAGGCCATTAGCCACTCTGTGGGGCACTCCCAGACTGCAACACCTGTTAGCAGACATTGACCTGGGCCTTGGAAAATCTTCTCAGTGGACCATTGAGAACCAAAGCCAGGGCTAACTGTGAGGTGATGATGAGCGAGCCCCTCCTCTTGCCAGACGAGCCTCTTCAAACTTTGTGAATGAAGGCCAAAGAAGAGAAATTCTGTTGGTGGCTTCCTTTGAGATCATCTCTTTCTCGTTGCAGAAAGCGCTTGTTTCAGCGTTCCTCATGCCCCTTTTTGTTACAGACCACCTCCCTGTCAGAGGATTCGAGCTGTTATGAGTTTGTTTATTATTAGATTTATTTCTCCTATAAGCAAATGTGTTCACAACATTCCATCGGGGAATCTTCTTAATTGTCACATAAATGTCATCTTATGTAAATTGAATATTTATCTTTGCATGCAAGAGGGGTGGGGGCGGAGGGGAAAGGAAAAATAAACAATCTTCAGTCTTGGAGAGGGAGAGGGATTTGAAACTCATCCACCTGCTTTCAAAAACAAAGGTGAACTGGGGGGTGGGGGGAATCACTGGATTATCTTGGAGAGGGTAGAATAGGTTGGCAAGGATGAGATGAGACGCCTTAGGGATGCTGGGCCAGGCTTCCCCAAACCTCAGCCCGAAGCTAGCCAACCTTCCTAGCTGGAGCATTCCCAGGAGGCAAAAGGTTGCCCCCCACGTGTCTACCCATCCAGGAGGCCTGCCCTTTTTCTTCCTAGAGAGAAGGTGAGCTCCCTAGGCGCAGCGGGTTGGGTGGGTGTGGCCCGCAGCTCAGGGAACCGACCCAAGGCTCCGCCACTGCCGGCTAGCCGCCCGACAGCCCGCCCGCCTGGCGAGCGCAGGCTCTTCTTCCAGAAACTGCGAGGATTGGAGAGCACTGTTTGTGCACCACAAGGTCAAGTCGGGAAGTGGAGTCGGAGGAGGAGGGGCGAGAAGGAGAGGGTGGGGAGAGGGGCGCCCCGTTTCTCTGCCAAGTACCAGCCCTGGGAAGTTGCCCCTCGGTTTTTAACCCTTTGCGGTTATAAGATGCACAAGGCAGGAGGAAGGGGGTACCCGGGGGCAAACTCCTCCTGAGGCTAGGACATGTTGCCACTCTGCTAGCCACCCACCCATCACAGTGCGCCTCACCCCCCCCCCCCGGAAATGCAGGGCAGCACCGGGCGCCAGGAGGCACCCGCGAGGGGGAGGGGGCAACGAGCCCAAAAAGGGACCCCCCTCTAAGGACAGCCCCTCTCTTCCGGAGGTCGCCCACAATTTCAACTTTCCCTGCCTAGAATGCTAGTTTGTATTTGGTGTGGGTGGGGGAGGAGTACCGTGCCCCCTCCCCCAGCCCCATGCGCGCCCCTCCCCTGCACTCCTGCCAGCACTTTCTGCTCACTTCTGGTGCTGCAAAAAACGCCACGCGATTTATTCGATTTCGATTTTAAAACCAGTGATTCCGAAACTGGGCGGAGGGCGAGGGTCTTCCAGCACCAGAGTCCCTGGGGGTGGGGCGGGCGGGCCGGGTACTCCGTGCAAGCCTGGTTTCCTCCGCGAGTGTCGCCTCCAGGCTGTTATTTGCAAAGAAACGTCTTTTTGACGCAGGGAGAAATGGCAAATTTTAAGTACGTCATTAATATGGCGCCAAAAGATTTTTTTAAGTATATGCTTGCTTTTTTTTTTTAAGGTTGCGGGGGGCTCCGCCTGGGTCTGGGGCGCGAAGGGGGCGGGGTGTGAGCAGAAAGTGTGAGTGAACGAGTGGAGGGGCGGGGTATGTGTGTGAGTGTGTGAAGTGTGAGCCGACCTGATGGGACTTGCACGGGCTCAGCCGGCGCTCGGGCCCGGCCCTGGGGACAGGGCGGGCTGGGGGCGCCCGGGAGTCCACGAGGAGTCCGGGCCCGCGTGCAGGCGGGCGGGTGACCGTGCAGGGCACCCCCCCGGGGGGGGCCGCACCGCACCCGGGGACGGTCGCCGGAGCCAAACACCGGGGAAGGGGGGGGGGAAACGACAGGAGGGGTGCCGGGAGCGGAGATCCGAGTGAATTAGAAAAAAGTGGCTACTCCCCCTCCCTCTCTTCTTGCCCGCCCCCACCCCACCCCCACCCCAACACATTTTTTCCCCCTCTAAAGAGATCACAAGGAAGTCTTGGTTTAAAAAGAAACAGAAACATACACAGGGGGTTGGTGAATGGTGCCGACCGCGGCCATCGCAGTTGGAGGCTATTTTTTTGGGGGGTGAGTAGCGTCCATGGAGTTACTTTGCGCCCACTCCTAGTGGCACCAGCTCTGGGCTGGAGGGCTGACCATCTTCCCAGGAGGGGTGCGGGGCTTGGGGGACGCCGCGGCCCGGTCGCCTCCCTCGCCACGACCCCGGATGGATGCGCGCCCCCCGCCCTCCCGTGCCGGCCCCAGGAGCTCCTGGCTTCGGGAGCATCCTTCCCGCGCCGGCCCCCGCCGCGGCGCGTAGCCGAGGGCAGCGCCCCTTGGGAGGGCACCGCGGAGCAAGGTAAGAGCCAGCCCCCAGCGGATGGGCCCTGCGCATCTCCACAGCATTATTTTGTGGGCTTTTTTTTTTTTTTTCAACAGATCTGCCAGTGCTCCTCTCTCCCTCTCTCTCTCTTGCTCGCTCGCTCCCTCTCTCGCTGGCTGCCTGTTCTAGGAAGCCAGCGCGGGGGGTGGGGGGACGCACAGCACTGGGGAGAGAGATTGCGCATGTTGGTCAGCCGTGTTTTAAAGAGTACAGTGCGGGGAGGCTGAGAGGGGCGCATGCAACAACTTTTGGAAGGGTGAGCCTGGCGACCTTCTTTATTAATGACTGCGGCAAAGAGCCCCTGGGCCGGCGAGGGGGCGCGGGCGGGTGGGGGCGCTGGGGCTGCAACTTGCCTCGCGGGCTCCGGCCGGCCCGAGGGGCTGCGGCGCGACCGGGGTGCGGGGTGGGAAGGCCGAGTGGCGGGCACCGGGGCACGGGAAACCTGGAGCTGTCTGCCCTTCTGTCTCCCCGAGTTTCATTTTGTTGATACGCAGCACGTCCGGGTGCCGAACCGGGCTGAGCCGATGCACATGACCCCGCGCTAGGCTCACGTGCAGCCGGTCCAGTCCTAGACACCTTCCGGGGGCCACCGCCTCCGCCCTGCGCCCCCTTTCCAGGCTGGGTGCACGCGGGAGCTGCACGCGGGGGCAGCATGCTCGGTTCCTGGGTTCAGAGGCATTGCACAAATTAGTTTTTTTTTCTTTTTAAGGGGCGGGGGACAACGTTCCCAGGTGAGTGCTGAGTGCGCAGCCCAGGCAGCTAGGGTGCATACTGGGGTAGTGGACAGCAGCTCTCCGGTGCTGCGCGGGAGTCCGGTGGGGGAGAGGCACTGCGAGAGTGGAAATGTACCGGCGACGGCCGGAGCGGCGGGTGCGCGCTCACGGGGCGACGGCAGGGGGCGTGGCCCTTGTTTACCTTCTCCCAACTCTGCTGGTTCGCGTCCCGCTTCAGGGAAGACTCTGCAGCTTCCCCCCCTCCCCCGTCCCTTACTAAACTCTGGGTGGTACCTAGGAGCAGCAAACAAGTGGAGGGCCCTGCCTGGGACACACGCACCTGACCCCAAAATGAGTGACATTGCAGCCCCCGCCCCCACCAAACACTGCTGCAGTCCTGCCGGATCCCCGGCCCCGCCCCGCCCCCGGCAGTGGCATCTTCCCGGCTCACCTCCTTCCTCCCTTTCCCTCCCTCCTTCCCACCCACTTGCCTGCGCCTGCGGAGCGGCTCTCGCTCGCCCACTCCCCGCCTGGGTGCAGACTTGTGACTCCCCATGGTCCCTTCCCGCCCATCCCTGGGCTCTGAGATATCCCCTTCTCCGAGCAAGGGGTGATCCTGGGTCAGCTTGGAGACTCGTAGCTTTTCTGCCGAAGGGTGAGGACATCTGCAAAACCGGCTTGGAGGCTTCCCTTTACCTTCCAGAGAGGCCCAGCCAGCTCAGCCCGGTCCCCCTACTGCACACCTCTGCCCCGCTCAGTACCCCTGCCCCCACCCCGGGCTCAGTTGCCCTTCCTCGAGTCCCCTAGACCCCTCCCCCGCCCCGGGCGCCAAGCCCACCCACCTTCTGGAACCGCCCCCGGCCCGAACCGCCTCTTGCCCTTCCTACGCCTGGGCCGGAGCCCCCCGCAACCACCTCCGGCTCCTCCTCCCGGCTCCCGCGGTCGGTCGGAATCACGCCGGCGCGCCTCCAGCCTGCGTGCCCGCCGCCCGCCGCCAGGGGCAGGCTGGAGGCGCACAACCCTCTTCTAATCCCCTTAGCCGCTGCAGCCGGCCTGTGCACTTTTTTTTTTTTTTTAAACCAGCTTTGCCTCAGGCCTCCTGCTGGGGGGCGGGGGAGGGGCGCCGGATTTCTTTATGCCCGAGGGTACGCTGCACTGGCTACCCCGTGTCTCTGCAGATTTCCAAACTTCACCCTTGCCCCTAGCACCCCCCCCCCCCCATCTGCAGGAATCCGAGGTACAAAGTTTTACCCAGAGGCAGTTTGCGAGAGGTCAATGGGAGGGATTATGGTTGTTTTCAGAGAAGTGCCAGAGGGGTTAGGGAGGGGGGAGGCCCCCAGTTTGAAATGAAGCGTTCTGAGCCCGGAAGAACTATTAGGATGCTTCCTTAACATTTATGTTTGCAAACAGACCGGAGCTTGGGAGCTGGGTTCTCCTCCCAGAGTGGCACTGTCTCCCCTGTCACTGGTAAAATTCCCAGTAGGACATTTGGCAGAAGATCCCGGCAGAGGGCTGCCAACCGAGCCTGGCCCTGTTTCCTGGGTTCCCAGGGTGCTGACTTCTTTTTCCCCTCGCCTAATTTCTTTTTAACCCCCTTAGGGCCCCAGGCGAACACACCAGCCCTCCAGGCCCTCCTGTCCCATCTTCCTTGGGCGGGTTGGGACTCGCAGAGCAATCTACTAAGCAGGCAAGGAAAATAAGAGAATGAACTGTAAGGGGGGAAGGAATGAGTAATAAAACTGACCCAGGCAAGGAGAGCTTTTATGTTTAGGCTATGCTATTTACTTTTTAGGTCACAGGCTGCAAAAACAGGCTTTGATCCGAAGTGGGCGAATAATTTATTGAGAAAGTTTGTATGGTGTGGTGGGGGCCGGGGAGGCGGGGATACGTGTTTGATCTGGAGCCCTCTCCTCGGTTGTTCCAAGAGCTGTTGGCTGCTGTTTTGAGTGGGAAAGCATTTGGTTCCACAGTAAATGTCTTTTAGAGGGGAGTCCTCACCCTACGCTGCAGGACTTAACAGTGAATGTTGGCTTTGAAACTGTTTGGCCAAGGGTCTCCCCAACACTCTTGGAGATGAAGTGTTTAAGGACAGAGTTGTTTGGGCTCTGGGTACAGCAAATGTTTCCAGAGTTCTTTCCCATTCAACATGCTTTTCCTTTCCCTAAATTGCCTGGGTAAATGGCCAGTGACTCCTGTCCAAGAGGTTGTCAAAGACTTCAGCCACAGTTCTCATTGATACTGTGTATGTGGGGGTCCCCCTATTGTACTTTATTATCTAAGTGTAAGCCTTTGACACTGACTTGCCTATGTTCAAGGCTGTAGGCAGGATACTCCAGTTATTTATAACCAGTGTTTCTGTTAGACTAGAAGATGGTTGGTTGCCTCAGGGCCCCTACCAAGTGCTTCACTGTACACGCAACAGGCTGTCTGGAGACCTCATGGATGGATGTTTGGGTTGCGTGAGAGGTTGCCAGGCTAGAGTTGGGGGTGGGGGATAACTTTGACTCGTCATGTCCCCCATGCGATGGGACCTATATCACATGACACTTAGACACTTAAATGGCAGATCTTAGCTCAAAGCTTCAGCACTACAGGAAATTGGTTCTGGAGACTCAGGCAGCCCTCTTAGCTTCCACTCAGAAATCTCTGGAGTTTGGAAAACTTTGTACCATAAGCTTTCCTGCCACCCTGAGCCCTTTGGCCATGGAGTCAGCTAGCCTAGGTTTGAATGTCGTTTCCAGCTGTGGTAAAAGCACTGTAGGTCTTAGTTTATTTATCAGCCAGTGGGATTGATAATAATTCCCATCTCTAAGTAAGCATAGGAAGTAATAGATTGTATTAAAGACTAAACCTGGGTCTAAGGATGTTTGTATCTGATGTCAAGCACTTATCCAGCAACTCCAAGGCCCTGGGTTCTAGCACTACAATGAAAAGAGAAGGAAAAAAACAAATAAACAGAGGAAGCCTGAAGTGTGTGGTAGCATACCGCACAGTGTTACCACTCAGTTAATGAACTGAGGCGAGCCAGTTTATTACATGCACTATGGCCTTTGGTCTGTCCTTTCCAGGCTAGGCCAGAAAGCCAGCTCTCTTCTCTGCGGAAGAGATGAGCATCTAACAGGTGCCCGTGAGCAACTAGACTTAGGAATGGTCCACTGAGATTTGCCCTGTGGGGCGAAGAATAAGGTTGAGGACGTACTGAAAGATAAATTAGGTAGAACCCATCACACGCCTTGGTTGGGTTGTAGAGCTGGCCTGCATGCTACTGTAGGCACCGGAGGCTGGGGCCTGGCCGGGACACTGAGGGTATGCAGTGATGTGGCAGGAGAGGGATCCAGCTCCTCTCCGGCTTGGAGAAGTAGAATTGACAGTTACAGACAGCAGCCCTCTTGCCCTGTGTGCACAGAATCACTTTTTTTTTATCTGCAGTTATTGTCCCTGAGAAGGCATTAAAGTTAATGAGAGATGGGAAAGAGAGGGGCTCTGACCCCCGTTTGAAACAGTTTAAGAGTGTGTGAGCTCTTGTTTTCTGAATGTCTGGCCTTCCCTGCACAAGGAGGCTCTAAGGACAGGTTTTCCAGCCGAAATATCATTAAATTGTATTAGCATCTTATTACACACACGCCTTCGCGGTCTGCCTCAGACAGGGAGAGTTTTTGTTTCTCTCTGAGAGATTGTGTCTGGAATGGTAAATTGCCTGCTTAAAGGCCCCCCTCACCCTTTTTTTTTTTTAAAGGAGGACGGAATCCTGCTGTGTGTGTGAGGGCAGGCCTGGTGGCCCCTGGAGAGGAGAGACCGGAGGCCAGGTTAGGGTGTTTTAACTGCCCCAGGGAGTGGCTGCTGTAGCTGGCCTGAAAGACCCACTGTTCCCAGGGTCAGCTGGGAGGGCGTTAATGGAGGCCTAGGGTGTTTATTTGAATTTATTTGCAGAGACATCTTTAAAAGAGACTGGCATTGGGCAGTGGTGTTCCAGGGCCAGAACTTTAGTGGGGGCTAAGGCCGGTGGCCTGTGCTGCCAAGAAAACATCTGCCACCAAACTGCTGCCCTATTACTGAGTTGACATTGGTCATTAGCCAGGAGCCGAACCAAATAAAGCTGCCTGGAAAATGTGTAGGGTCAAGACTGGGAAGGAGGACTGTGTAAACAGGAGAGAATCTTGGGCTGGGGTGTCAGTTTCTGCCAGCAGCAGGCCAGCCAGCTGGGCTGTGTGGTCCTGACACTCCATGAGGGAGGGACCTGCAGTGTGTTCAGTACTCCCCGTTATACTGGGTGCAGTGTGAGAGTTCTGGCGTTCACACAAGGATCATTCCCAAGAAGGACAGTTGGCAAGTAGTTCAACACACGGATGTGCGTTCTGAAAACGGGGAAACTGGGTAACTCATTTCTCTAAATAGGGTAATGGTCAGAAACTGACACAGGCAGCTGGCACAACTTGTGCCCAGGTCTGGAAGCAGGAAGAACCTTTAGCTTGATAGAGGAAACAAAAAGAGACCAGAGGCTGTAGCTCGTTGGTGAGTTCTTGCCTTGTCTGTATGAGGTCCTAGGTTCAGTCCCTACTGTTGCAAGAGTGATGTCACTGTCCTGCAGTGTAGTGAGGAAGGGGATGGTCACTGTGAACTTTAGGTAGGCAGGGTCCAGATTGGTGTAGGTCTTGTGGGGATATGGAGACCTGGCCTTGGATCAGCTGGAAGCCTGTGAAAGAGTTTACAGGGTTGGGAGCGAGGCAGGATTTAGGCTTGGAAGATCTCTTTGGGTGCTGTGTGGAGTTTGGATTCTGTGAAGGAGGCAGGGGAAGGGAGGAAATGAACTTAGATGGGTCCAGGTGAGAGGTGAGCTGGACTTGAACCAGTTGGATGAGTATAGACTTGGGAAAAGTGGGTGTGTTCGGGACTTGCAGAGGAGGCATAGAGCCCTTGGACCACTGCTCCGTTGAAGGCACGATGATTTGCTCACAGTCCAAAGGAGAGCTTCCCATGTGTGTTTTCATATTGGTATTTCAAGTCCAGTGGACCCAGAAGGATGGCCAGAAAAGACCTTTCTTGCTTAGATTCTCCTTTACAGGTGGATTACAGGACCAATTCTTATCCCTCAGAAGCGAGTGCCATGTGTCACTGAAGTCATCTGCCAGAGCAGAAACATGATTTGGGAGAGCTGGGAGCAGGTATTGATTAGCGAGGGAAAACCAGAGGCCGGGCAGACTGAGCAGCTCCGTCACACACACCTGTTTGCTGCCTTAGCCGTGTCCACCCCCTCTCTTGCCAGTGGGCCAGGTGATTTGAGACACGCAGGGCTGCCTCATTGATGGGGCTGAGTGTAGGGCTACCAGCTGACAGGTTACCTGTTGGTTTCTGGGCAAGGATTCAGGAGTATAAGAAGGGTGTGGGCAGCTATGGTCACTGCCTATGCTTTCCAAGGGCCCGACCTCTGTAGGGCCGCTGAGTATTTCCTAGCTAGCGTCTGTGTGACGCTTCAGCCGCGCCGCTGCACTCAGTCTTCACACTCCTTTACTCATTCACTCTCGCCAGCCGATTCCCGCCAACAAATGTGTTTAGTTTGGCCATTTCAGGGTGTTCTTCAAATTCTGACTCAGTTGCCAACATTTTAAATTCTGGAGATGTATGGGGAAGTCAGATCCAGTTTACTTCCTGGGGGAAGTACTTCTTTGCCAACACCTCTGGCCTTGTGAGCGGTGGGGGCTAAGATTTGACCCCAGTACTTTAAGTCTCCTAAGTCCATGGCTCTCGCTCCTCGCTCCTCATCTTCCTGGACTGGAGGTCACACCCAGGGACTTGTGCATGCTGAGCACATGGCTGGCTACTCCTGAGCTCTACCGTCAGCCCCCAGCCAGCTGTTAGTGTTACAGGAGATTCTGGTTTGGAGGTACTGTTGCCCTCTTTGCTGAAACAGAATTGTAGGAGACATTGGGTTAGCCATACAGTGACGGGGCTAGGTTGGGCCAGGTGTGGGCTACAGCCAGAGTTCTTTTCAAAGTCGGCCTTCCTGAGATCCTGGATGTCACAGAGGGTGATGGTTTTGGATCTGGGCTCCCTCTCTGCTGCAAAGAGGTCATGAAGTCTGATGGTCAGGAATTGGGTCTTCTAAGTCTGTTACAAACTGTCACCTTAGGCAAGTCACTTAGCTCCTAAGACTCCTTTTCCTCATTTCTGAGACTCTTAAGTAAGAAAGATGCAATTGCATTAGCTACCAAGGGCTATTCTGAGAGCTCCATAGGGTCCTTGTGTGCTAGAGGACCCCCACTCCTGCCTGCCATAAGGAGTGAGGTCTTTCTTATTTTTTCTGCTTCTTGGGTTGCTTGAACTGCTGAATGTCTCTCGGTTCTCTGCCCTTTAGGAAACACTGGGCGACAAACAAGCAGCCCCGTCAAGCTCCTCCCATTCTAGTGGGGGAAGACTGTGGGTAAAAAAGGCTCCTTGCTGAGGTCAAAGGTTAAGCAGGTCCACTCAGAGGTCTGGGTAATTGTTCTTCCCACTTAATAGATATTTCAGGGTCTCTGTGGCACTATAGGAAGAAAGAGGCATCTCCTAGCTTGACAGGAACATGCTGGAGATAGAGGACACTGTAGTCCCTTCTCCCTAAGAACTAGAACTGAATGGGAGCATGGCGTGAAACACCCTGGGTCAGGTATTAAACCACTCCAAGTGTTCTCCTCCAAGCAGGCTGTGCCTTTCAGGCTTCTTAAGACCTGAGGAAGAAGTGAGTAGGCACAGCCTTCCAGGCTGAAGTGGAGGAGTTCAGGGTAATCTTGGGAATCAGACTTCAGACTCGGGTTCAGCGCTCATCTCCGTTAGCTGGCTAGTAGCAGAAAGAGGCAGCCTTCCTCTGTAAATGGGCTGTTAGGCGCTAAGCACCATGGATGAGGTGGTGAGGAGGCTGCCCATTAGGCTTAAATGTTAGATGGCACAGGTGAGATACAGTAGGATTGTACTGTACCTGAGTGAGGATGCTGCTGCCCCATTCCCACACCCCAGTAGCCGTCATGCTGAGGATCCGGCCTCATGATGGTTTGTGCCTTCCTTTCACATCGAGGTCCTAGAAGGATGTTTTTTATTTCCTCTTCTCCCTCCTCCCTGTAGGGAGCACTCCAGAGGTATCCGTAGTGAGTCATGCTTTTCTGATCTGCTCATTTCATTGAATGGGAACTGGGACTTGTGTGGTCATTGTCACCTTTCAGTCTGTGCCCGCTGGCCTCCCTGTAGTCCTCTGACACCAATGAGCAGACTTCTGTTTGTCTTGAGTTCCCCCGGGCCTCCTTTCCCAAACGCTGGCACTGTGGGTGAGTAGAGAAAGGATGAAGCTGGAAGAGAGGCAAGGCCGTGTCCTTTCTCTGCATGGGAGTGTGAGCTGAGGAGTCCCCCTGATGTCTGGGAAGATAATAACTCTTCTCACCTTCTGTTGCAGATGGAAGAGAAGAGGCGAAAATACTCCATCAGCAGTGACAACTCTGACACCACTGACGGTAAGGCCTCCCACTTGACTCTGTGGGGACAGCGACTAAGTAAAACTGACAGGCCCAAAGATCTGGTGGGAGGAGGCTGACCCTCCATTCAGCTCAGCCCAGGGCCACAGGAGTATAAAGTCAAGTCGGATTCCTCTGCCCCTGAGGTGGTCAGTCCCTGCCCTTATTGGACCTTTACCATCCCCATTAGTCTACTTCCCTGTCCTCCAGGTAGGCCTTCCTCTCACTGGAATAGACCAACTCCTCTCAGGGCGTTTGCTGCTGGTTGATAGAAGAAAATGAATCCTTTAGCTTTTAGAAGTCTCTACAAAACAGACATGAAACCTGTTGCCCTTTGTTGTTATCATTAGCTAGTTATTATAATAAGTAACTTCCTAACCAGCGGCGAACCCTGATCAGAGAATTCTTAGGATGCTCACTGCTCAGTTACCAGCTAGGATCTGGCACACAGTAGGTGTTCTATAAATGTTGACTGAAGAAAACAATGAAGAAGCTCAGCTGTCATGGAGCTTGGCAGTACATCCTAAGAGGTAGATTTAAATAGAGAAGTGGATGCGTCAGTTGGATGTCCAGAAGAGGGGGAAAGGTCCCACTGTCAAAATATAAATGACATTTTGGGAGCAGAGAAAAAAGTTTGTGTACAGTAAGAGCTTTCCTCCTGGTTAGTGACAAAAGGTAGCCATTGTCCAGTGGCCCAGGAAGCCATTCCTCAGCCTGTTGGATTAAGGAGTCCCATCTTCATGGACAGGAAGGAGCATCCTATCTTCATGGGTGGGAAGGAGGATCCCATCTTGAAGTGACTACTCTAGGGGGCCCTCTAAGAAGGAAGACACACTACTGGGGAAGTAAAGCCTGGAGCCCTGCATCTCTAGACCTGGTGGACTAGCTGTGTCTGTCTCCCTGCCAACCAGAGGATTGATAATGCCTAGCCCTGTCTGCTTCTAGGCCTCATTTGCTGCCCTGTGGGTCTGGCTCTGGTTGTAGCCCACCCCTCCCTTCCAACCCCCTTGATACAGGAAGGGATCACTGTAGCTAGAGTTTTATGGTCACCTGTCTTCCACACCTAGCCTGCAGAGTCATGAGGCATCTGGGCATCTGAGCTCTGGAGAAGCAGTGGACCTGGACTTAAAGTTGTTCCCTCTCTATCAATCCCACCACTGTCCCCACCCATGACCATTAACTACTGTGCTCATCAAAAACCTTAGCTCTGGAGCTGGTTGTGGTGATACACTTCTTTAAACCCAGCACTTGGGAGGCTGAAGCAAGTGGATCTCTGTGAGGGGAGGTCAAGGCCAGTCTGGTATCCATAGCAAGTTCTAGACTAGCCAGGGCTACATAAAACAGAAAACCCCTGGGTATTCCTCGTCCTTCTTGCTGAGGCCGTTGCCCTATAGCCTAGCAAGGGCCTTGGACCCTACTACAGTCATGGCTAATTGAGGAATCCCTTTCGACCATCCTAAAGCTCTAGATCTGGTGTCCTTTGGTTAGCCTTTAGAGGACAGGTCATCTCTGATCCTCTTAGTCAGCTTCGCGTTACTATCCTGTAAGGTGATAACTTTTGAAAGGACAGGTTTGCCTAGCCCCCAGTTTTGGGACTTTCAGTGCATGAGCAGTTGGCTTCTGACACTCTCTGAGGTTTCAGGTTCTAAAATAGCTGCCCCACTTCCCAGTAGCATTGTCCTGAGGTCTAGGGTGAGAAGGTGGGGGGATGGTGGGTACCAGTGTCTCCCACTTTCCCCCGGGGTCTTCCTACCTCAGTTAACCTACTCAGTCCCTCAGAGGCTTAGGCACAGATAACTGATCTCTCACGAGAGTGTCTGGAGACTTAATATTTCAGATGATTCACATCAGGTTGGCATTTAACACTAACCATCTCGCACACACTGTTCTAGGCTTACAGATAGCAAATTTACTGGTGGTGGCCCATAATCAGGAAGTTCACTTGGGTCTAGCCTGGTAGTCTCCAGGTTCATTCAGATTCATACTTCCTACTCTGCCCTACCCTGCTTCTGTAACCTGCTAGGGCATTCAGGAGTGCCATGATTTACCTAACTTGGGGCAGACTGGAGAGAGGCCATGGAATGTTCCAGCATTCCTTGGCCAAGTAGGAAGCAGAAACTAAAAGAGAATAGGGACTTCTTTGGAATCACAGAAACAGCTGGTAACTGCTTTTGATTTCTTAAGCCCCTTTCAGTGGTGAGTGAAGGAGCCTTCCTATTTCATTGGTCTGTGGAAAGACCAGCTGCAGCCCAGGATAGGGACAGTGCCTCCCACCTTCTGATCCTACAAGCAGGTGCTTGCCTTGGAACTTCTCATCCTCTGTGTGGTTGGATGCTGTTTCTGACTCTCCAGGACCCCTCATGGCCTGTCTTCTCTCTGCAGGTCACGTGACATCCACATCAGCATCAAGATGTTCCAAACTGCCCAGCAGTACCAAGTCGGGCTGGCCTCGGCAGAACGAAAAGAAGCCCTCAGAGGTAGGCAGCAGTGGTGGAAAGGCTGAGGGGAGGAGGAGGTTGGGGTGGGGAGGCACCTTCGTAGAGCGGGAGAAAGAGCTAAGCAGATGCATGAAGGCCACATGTTCTTGGTGAAGGGCCTATGCCTGGTGCCAAAGGTGACCAGTGTGGCAGGATGGAGTGAATGAGGACACCAGTATATGCATCTAACAATGCTTCATGTTAAGCAGGGTAATGCCTTCACCTCCTGATCTGCAAGTAGAGGTGTTTATGGCTCTACCTATGGGTCAAGACCCTCTTGGGGATTGAATGACTCTTCACAGGGGTCACACATCATATATCCTGTATATCAGATAATTACATTACCATTCATAACTAGCAAAATTACAGTTATGAAGTAACAACGAAATAATGTTGTGGTCAGTGTCACCACAACATGAGGAACTATATTAAAGTGTTGCAGCATTAGGAAGGTTGAGAACCATTGGTTCTAAGCTGTTCCTCTTGACCTAGAGACACCTTTGAATGCTCATAAACAGGGCAGCGATATAATCTGATGTGTTTATTTTGTTGTTGTTGTGAGCCAGGGTCTCTCTATGTAGCCCTGGCTGGCCTAGAACATGCTATGTAGACCAGGCTGGACTCAAACTCACAGAGACTCACCTGCCTCTGCCCAAGTGCTGGGGCTAAAGGCTAAAGGTGTATGCCATCACATCAAGCATAATCTGGTATTTTAATAAAAGGGCCTACTGGTTGCTGTGGGAGGAAATTGCCTCCTTGCAGGTAATGGTGTAGAGCTGGCAGCAGTAGAGTCAAAAAGCAAAGTGATTTGGGACGCTTCAGTAAAAGCCGAGGACGACAAGGCTTGCTGGTGCTGGGCAAAAGGATGGGTGTGTCCAGAGCCCTCTGATGAGCTATATGCCTCTGACAGTGCTTCATGTGTACCTGCATGTGTACATGCCTTCACCTCCTGACCTGCCAGGAGAGGTGTTTATGGCTTCTGTGGAGGATGTCCTTGGTTCTTGTGGCCAACGAAACATTGCATGCAGGGCCTTTATCTGTTCCTGCTTAGTGCTTCACCAGCAGTGCCACTGGGCCGAGATGAGGCCTTTGGTATAAATGTAGCTGTGAGAACTTCCAAGGCTGTGCATTTCCACCCTGGTCCTTACACGTGTAGCTGGTGTAAGGACCATGCTTACATGGGTGTGAGGTCAAGGACCATGTCTTGTCCCAAGCCGCACCCCATTCTCCCCTGTTGGCTTTCCACCGGGCTTATCTGGTATCAGTTCTTACCAGCCCCGAGGTATGTATTCGGGGTGGACTTCTGGTATGCTCTTACGTGGTCTTCCCTAGAGCTTTATGTTTTAAAAACTTGATTTCTTGCCTCCCAAGATGACTTGTTCTATGCCCTTCCCCTTGGAGGACCGGATTGAGACCCTATGAGAGGGATCTCCATTTTCCTTCCAGTGCATGTGTGTGTGTCATGGGATATGTGTGGAAGACGAGAGAGCAACTGGAAGGAGTTGGGTCTTTCTGCCATTCGGGTGTCAAGGGTCAAATTTGGCCCCAGGCTTGGCAGCAAGCACCTTTGCCTGCTGGGCCATTCCATTGCCCGCTCTGTTATCTTCCAAACCTGGTTTGTGTGGATGAAGATATCTCTGGAAGTGTTAACAAAGGAAGGAGCTGGGTGCTGGGACTGAAGGGAAAGAGTACGTTGTGACTCTTGCATACCCTCCTCCTCAGCTGGCTACTTGGGAGGATAAGAGTGTGCCAAGTACAGTGTGGGGAGCAGAATACAGATAGGATCCTGGAAGGTCCTGCCTCTCTGTGGATGAACAATGTTTTGGTCACCTTTATTTGGCCCTCCTGGTCCTTGGAGGCAGGAACTGCCATGTTCATTTAAGACTTGAGGAGGTTGCCTCTGAGAATCCAGCCTTTTCCCAGCTTTCCTGTGGTTCTGCATATTGGCCTGAGATGGGAAACTCCAGAGGGAGCTGTCTCTTCTCCTGTCTCGCCTCCCCATGCTAGCAGGGGATGGGGCCCCTTCTCCACTGGCTGGGACCAACCCTGGGTGGAAACAGGTGTCAGCAGGCTGAGAAGAAAGAACAATTTGCATGGGGCAGAAAATTCCCCTGCCTCTTGGGTTTTCCAGCCCAGAGGCTTTGTACCTAAAAATAGACTTGAAGCTCTGTACGGCACCTTCTGGGGACTAGCTGTGTATAGCCCATGCTCAGACCAGGAGCCCTGCAGGTGTGCCTGTGATGTCCACCCAGGAGGACTGAAGAGTCTTCCCTGCCTTGAATGGCAGCCAAGCCTTTCCTCCCACAGCAGGCTGGAGAGCAGCCTGAGAGGTTTTCCTCATCCCCTAAGTGAGAGGGTTGAGCCGTGGCCGGTATAAATTCTTGAGTTATGGTGGGGCAGAGAAGAAAGCATCAATGAAAGCTTCCAAATGATTTGGCTCATGAGAGGGCGGAGAGAAAAGCTCTTGGCCGCAAGAGTGTGTGTGTGCTCTGATGAATGAACTGGAGGCAGAGGGCCTTGCTAGTGAGCCTGGCCTAGAGGGCAAAGGCTCCAGGCACCCTAACAAAAGGGATTCTTGGAAGCCCCATCTGCCCAGTGCCCTATGGGATAACTGCTAGGCTGGTCACACTGTGTGCTCTCACTGAGGCAGAGTGGTAACAGAAACCCCCCCCCCCCTCTGCTGTCCATAGAGCTGAGGAAGCCGTGGGTCACTCTCTTGTTTTTATTCCTGAGTGTGTCCAGATGTGGAGTAGGGAATTTGAGGCCCCAAGGTACTTAGCATTGCAGTAGTTGTGGGCATATTAGAAAATGTAAAATAGCTGAGGGGTAGGTTTAGGGAAAACAAATACCCTTCCTTTCCAATCTGTGGGGTGCTGCACTTCACACTGCCATGGGCCAAGGCCAAAGAACACTGACCAAGAGTCAGGACCCTGGACAGGGCTGAAGCAAGCTTTCCCGTATGGCATTTTACCCAGGCCCCTCCCTGAGCTGATGGGAAAGCAGAGTTCTAGGCTGGGTTTGGGAGTCTGCCTTTAACCAGTAGAAGGGACAGTGGGGACAGAACCGAGGTCTCAGCCTTCTTTTCTTAGGCATTTTGTAGGACTCCCCAAAGCTGAAGTCTGTCCCTTGGACCTTAAATTCAGAAAGAGGGGACCCCAGTCTGAGAAACTGCGACGGCATAAATTCTGCTAGAGCCTTGAAGTTGTCTTGTGTTGTCTTGACCGATAACGTTGGCATCTTACCGCTTGATCCTTCATGGATCACGGCTTCGTAGACTCTGAAGTAAGTTGCAGCCTGAGACCATCTTTGATATTCCAGCACCGGCCCTCTGCCTCGGGGCAATACTTAGGTAGGTAAGGAGCTTCCTCCTGGGGAACAAGCTGAGAGTTCAGCCTTAATTTCTCCAAGTGGGGTTCTAGGCTTCTTGATACCAGAAAGCTTCTTAAGTGGCAGATGGTATCTAATTGAGGGCCAGTAAAAGGGCCTGCCTACCCAGTCCCCCTGGCTAGTGTCAGGCTATCCCTATGACACACACAAGCCTTGCAATGGACGAGTTTCTTCTAAGCCAGTGTGCCACTTGGGGTGCTAAGGATGGTTCTGGGAGAGACCTGGAGGCCGGCCCTGTGGTTGGTGCCACAGGTTTTATATATATCTTCCTCATGCCTTGAGACTGCAGGATACGTAAGCAGTGGGGATTTTCCCTAGGCTACCTGTCTGGAGGTGAGACGCTGTGCATCAGGAAGTCAGTCAGTGAGCCTCTGCTGCTGAGTAAGGCTAACAGCACTGAAGGTGCCTGGGAGCCATGGTCAGATGTGGGGTGGGTGCTTTAGGAAGTGTCTACTGGGGAAGTCCAGCCTGCTTTGCCTCTGAGGAGCTTTGGGACACTTAGCTTGTGACTCTTCTCTCTCTCTTTCTCTGTCTTGCTTGCGCTCTCTCTCTCTCTCTCTCTTGTCTAGAGACCTATGCCTAGAGCCTATTATGGGGAGATGGCTATTTTTTCCTGATACCAGTAGAACCTGTGGGAGGGTGTCTTAGTTGTTCTACTGCTGTAAAGAGGCACTGCGACCTACTTATAAAAGGAAGCATTTAATTGGGGGCTTGCTTACAGATTCAGAGAGATAATCTGATCATCATGACAGAAAGCCTGGTGGCAGGCAGGCAGGCAGGCAGAGTCAGAACAAAAGTTGAGAACTTACATCTGATGTGCAAGCGTGTGGCAGAGAGACTGGGCTTGGTGTGGGCTTTTGAAACCTCCAAACCTACCCCTAGCGACACACCTCCTCCAATGAGGCCACACCTCCTAATCCTTCCTAAACAGTTCCACCAACTAGGGATCAAGCATTCAAATATATGAGCCTAGGGGGGCCATTTTCATTCAAACCATCACAGAGAAGAAAGTTCCAGAGAGAGTGGGATGGATGGATGGATGGATGGATGGATGGATGGATGGATGGATGTCAGGATAAGTTGGTCACTAGCCACTTCTGGTGGTCTCAGACTAGGGAGGGTAGTTGCGATCCTATGCTCCCATCTTCTGCAGGTTCTGCTGAGGAATGAGTCTCTAGAGGAAAGAAGAGGACGACCTTTGTACATTCTACAGAGGCCCTTTACTGAAGCCCAGCTCCCTGCCCTGGGTACAGGGGCTAGCCAAGAAAGTGAAAACACCCTTTGCAGTCAGCAATAAGATGTTCCCAGATGTACCCTAAAAAGCTGTGTGAGGATACCCCTGTCCTAGCAACATAGCTTTGCTTTTTAAAACAAAAACAATAACAACATAAAAAATGATCAGATCTATCCTAAGAGAACAATGATATGGCCAGTTTGTCAGGTCAAAACCAGAAAACAATCCTGGAGGCACAGAGACGGTACCTAGACGTTGAGATTGGATCTTCTCTGTGAAAGCAGCGGTGAGGGCTGGGGGCGCAGCTCAGTTGCTAGATGTTGTTGGCCTAGAATGCATGGGGTCCAGAGTTTGATCCCCTGCCCTACTTAAATGTCAT